TTAAATATTTAAATGAAAAGCAAATAATGTTTTTTTATTAATGCATTTTACAATTTGACATAAATAGGAGCATGCAAATGAAAAAAAAAAAAGTATTAAGTATTCTTATGCCTATATAATAATTATAATACAAATTCGTCCACCTGCCTGGCTATCTCGATTTCCTTAACGCTGCCGCTTCCTCCTCCAATGGCTCGCATAATGCAAAAGCAAAAGGGAAAAGCAATTTTAGTTCAGTGCGTGGAGGGCGGTGGAGTAGCTGATCAAAGTAAAATATGTCATTTCTTCTTGTTTTTTCCCAGCTATTATCTATCAAGGGGTCAGGGCGGTGGAGTAGCTGATCAATGTAAAATCTCTCATTTCTTCTTTTTTTCCCCCCAGCTATTATCTATCAAGGGTTCAGTACATTTTTTGACTAATTTTTCCAGGTTAGTTATTGCTAATGTTTTAGGGTTTAAATGTAAACCATCCTTTCTTTCTTTCCGGCTATTATCTAAGCTTCAGTTCGGTTGTTGTTGTTGTTATGATGATGATGATGATGGTGATATTTCAGCTTTGAATTTCGTTGCTAAACCCGTCATTGTCTTAGGATTTAATCGTAATTATGCTATTTATTTATAGGACTAAATCTGAATAATTTCATCAAATCATGATCTGAATAGTATAGTAATTATTTTCTGCGTTGTAATAATTAATATTGTTAATTAATCATGCGTGCAGAACAGGACATGGATGATTCTGGTGGGAAAAGCATAAACGATTTACCCGATGCTCTTCTTCAACACATACTGTCCTTCCTTGGAACAAAAGATGCTGTTAGAACAAGCATATTGTCTAGGAAGTGGGAGCATCTGTGGAAGTCCCTTTCCAATCTTGAGTTTCATCAATGTTATTTTAAGGCTAAGAGAAAGATTTTCATGAATTCTGTGGAGAGAGTGCTTCTTCTACGGGACTCCTCTAATATAGAAAAATTCACTCTTTCATGTGGAATTGATGATGCGACTCGAACTCGAACTTGGGTTTCTGCTGCAGTAAATCGTAATGTTAAAGAGTTATGTGTCATCTTTTACGAGGGGGAAGAATCAGAATCGTTCGTTTTCCCCCTATGCTTATTTACTTGTGCAACATTAACCAAGTTGAAAATTACTTCACATGGTGTTCTCAGGCTTCCTTCTTCAATCTCTCTCCCGTGTCTAAAGATATTGAGCCTTCAACACGTTGTCTTTCCCGATGAGGACTCAACCCAACAAATATTGAATCTCCGAACCCTCGAGAAGTTGAAGATCCGTTACTGCGACTGGAAGAATCTTAAGGCCATTACCGTTTCTGCTCCCAAACTTCGGAGCTTGGACATTTGTGAAATGCATAGGAACGATTTGAGAGGTTCAGATGCTTGTCATGTCATGATTTTTGGAACTGCTTTAACCTTTTTTTCTTTCAGTGGTAGATTTTGGGATGACTATTGCTTATTTAAATCATCATCACTGGTTGAGGCATGTTTTGATGTTTATGGATGTTATGAGAGGTCAAGGGAAATTGCCCACCGTGCTTATAAGCATATTGTAGGGCTCTCTACTGTAAAACATTTAACGCTGACACCTGATGTTTTAGAGGTATTTTTGCTTCTCCGTTTTGCATCAGCTTCTATCTGGTCAATGGATAATATTCTTATTTGTATCTGTCACTCCCTAGCTCTTTCTCTTTCTTTTCTTTCAACTTTTATTTTCTCAATCCAGTTGCTTGAAATGTTCATAAAAAGCCTCTTGATTTTATTTGTGGTGCAATATTTTTGTAGGAAATTAATAGTAGCATGAGCATTCTTAGCCTTTAATTCTCCCATGTGTTTTTAACCAATTCTACTAAAAAGCTAAATTTATTAGATAAGGTATTAAAATATAATTTATATTATTTTTTTGACTGTTCTTAATCCAGAAGACCATTACGACATTGCTAATAGATGCTCCTTCAATGAAGTGCGTTAAATTTTAAAAATTTTGTTTGTGTTTTTTTTATCTAGGTTCTAGATTGCGCGCCCGAGCTCTTTGCCCGTACACCTACAGTCATGAATCTGACCTCGTTACGATTATCTGAGTCGATTTTTTATTGTCCTGATCTTCACTGTGATACCATCTGGCACATTCTCTACAGCTCTCCTCATCTTAAAGCTCTTAGTTTCTCTAGTGTAACATCTTGGACTCTTTGATTTCCAACTTAACTTATCATCAAGCTTTCATGTTTACAAATCTAATGGGTTCGCATGATTCTGGTGAATGTGCAGATCGAGCTAAGTGAGGAGTTGCCTACAAATTGTGCAAAGGATGACTGGATATTGGAGCCAGTGCCACCTTGCTTCCAGTCATGTCTGAAATGCATTGAGATACGTGTTTTCGGAGGTTTTATTTATGAGCTGCATGCAGTTGCCTTCTTGCTGAAGAATGCAATAGCTTTGGATGATATGGTTATTACTTGCTGGACCAGCGGGTCGGAGGCTCAGAGGAAGATTCGCGAGCAGCTATTCGAGCTCCCAGGATGGTCAGAAATTGGCAGATTAAATTTCGTTTGACTATTTATTTTGGATTATACTTCCTTTAATCCTTTTCAACTATAAGAAGAGAAGTTTATTCCTACAATTTTAAAGATTTCTCAATTGAT